GCTTTTTTTTTCATTTTTTTAAAAACTTTTTAGAGTAAATAAAGTTTTTGTAACCTTGCTCTTCTTCCATTTTTGTTTATGTTCTCAATATATATATCTTCTTTATAATATGTAAAAATTCAGATATAGATAATATGTGAAGACAATATATAAAAAAGAAAATACCAAAAAAAAATTATGTCAATTTCTTTCATTCCTTGAGGAACTTTATCAAGGCAATAAATTTCAGCGTTATCGGTGCAAACCACTTGCCTAGGAAATGCTCGTCAAGGAACGAAACGCGTTGGCATAAAATACATTCACTTTGTTTTTTCTATTATACATAATTTAAAATGTCCATTTTTAAAGTAAAAGCTGGAATTTCCCACAGATTAGTTAAAGTATCTCTATTATAATTTTTATAAAAAATTATCTGAAAATGTCATACATCATTGGATTTAACTATTGCAGCTATTCCAATAATCAGTACATTCGTTATAGCAATAATAATGTGGATGAAGAATTAGATGGGTATTTCGACCACCCATCCCAGGTGACCATAACTAATAGTCATAATCAAAGACAAATAATGTGACCATAATATTTTTAAAGAGTAGCAGTTGGAACTGAGAAGCAATAAGAACCTGAATAGATGAGCTTTGAAAATATTCAGAATAAAGACTTAACATGAAGATGACGTTTCTAGCATTCATTACGACAGTCCCAAAAGAGTTTTGCTAATTAGTAGAAATCTGAGAAAAAAATCAACTATACTACAGTATAACTAATATTCATGGATATTGAAAAATCCAACAATAGTGGATACTTATTGCCACATCGTCTCCAACAAATATAGCCATATAATCTGTAGAAATTCATTAAATAATATAATAAATTTTAATTAACAAGTGCACACTCAACATCGCTGGTTTCAAATTACCTTGTTGCAATTAGCCGATGTTAATTAACTGTTGCGTTAACGAACTCTTGTGTTTAAAAGTAAATGAAAGGATATATCATTTAGTTCTTAACTAAAGAAGATTTTTAAATAATTAACACGTGGAAGAAATTAAGACATTTAAAGAAAAAAATACACAATCATGGAAGAAAAATTGACGCCTGAAAAGACCAGCCAATGCAAATGAACAGAAATATGTTGGTCAGGTAAAACAGCGATCGATCACACAGGTAATTCAAATAAGCAAAAAGACACGAATGAAAACCTGAATAAAATATGAAATACATAGGGAATTGGTATACAGAACAGTCGATACATTAAATTAGTTAAAATGACTATGATTAAACTATCAACCACTTGTATTATTCTCAGCAAGATTCTTAGCGTACAAAGATTTCGACAAATTCTTGTTGTGCCGAATTTTTGGATTCGTTAGAAATAATGGGGTCAAGTCGTAATCGAGAGGACAAAAGTTTTATAATTCCCTCTGGGAAAAACACTAGTGCCATAAGAATAAACTTAGTTAATAGAAAAGTAGAAGGTATTTTGGAAAAGAATCAAATACAAATTGATTGATTTTTTACGGTTTATCAATCCTTTATAGGTTATTTAAAACCTAGAATTACTTTGGATTAAAAATAATTCTTTTTTTTTTGCGAGAGAATATAGCACTAAGCATTTTTTTTATAATAACAACGATTTTTCCATATAAGTAACTATTCAACTCATAACTGGGGAAAGATAGATTCGCATATTTTCCAAGGATATTTGCGCATAATTTATTGTAACTTTGATTTATCGTTCCGAACTGCTACACATTACACTACACTCAAAATCCCCAATACAAATTTTAAGCCTATGTTGGATAACAGATTGGTTTATCTCTGGTGTATAAACAAATTTAAGATGTGTGGCGCGTTGTATGAAAATGCTCGTCGTATGCTGAGCGGATAATATGTGTTTGTCTGCAAATATATTTAATAGAGGCAAAATGATGAGATATCTCAAAGCCAATTTATAGGGTTCCCAGACAAGAATTTAATAAGGTTTGAATATTTTAATATTAATAACAGAAAGAGAAATAATATGGAGAAAGAGAGAGTGTGAGCGATGAGCAGGTGGAAAGGTGATAGGGGGGAGATATACATACAAAATATATATTGGGTTTGGTCAAAAAGATCGTTCGCATATTAAGTAGAACAATTACTTAAGAAAGCGAACGAACATTTTTATCAGCTCAATACATACGTATATATTTTTATTACTTAAAACGTTATTTTTATTGGATATCCTTATTTAAGTAGACGCTGCGTTTTATATTAAACAATATTTATATCGTCTACCAGCCTACACTTTCAGGAATAAACGAGTTGACAAAATCGACAAGTCACGAAACAAACAGTTTAACATAAAATGGAGTGTCTACTCTAATACGGGTATCCGTTAAAATAAGGTTCGTTGTAATCTACAAAAATTAAAATCCACTGAATCTCTCTTTTTCTGTATATATATATATATATATATATATATATATATATATATATATATATATGTGTGTGTGTGTGTGTATATATATATATATATATATATATATATATATATATATATATATATATATATATATATATATATACACGCAACAAATAGATGCACATAGAAGTAACGTCTATTAATTCTACTCAACGCGTTTTTTTCTTCAAATGCTATCACGATCTGACAACATGCTTCATTGATTAATGTTAGATACGACCATATTTTTATTCCAAAAATAGTCTTATATCATTTTCTCATGACTGCTGATATTCATCCGTTTGTTTAAGTTGAAATAGGGAAATGTTAGTTTTTATACATTGTATTCGTGTTATTCTATGACAGTACAGAAATTCCAGATTTACAATTCACAGTATAATTTACTAACAAGTATAGTAAGAGATAAATATTATGGATCACCTTCAGTCAATTAAACTCATAGCATTATTATTTTTTACATTACATCGTCTTCAGAAATATTTGCAGTGTTCTTTTGCTAAGAAAATTATTCCACGTTTTGCTAAGGTCACATACGTTTTATTTGCATCTGAAAAACTTGACCAGCCGAAATTATGAAAACTACGCCTGTACGATTGGTTTTAATTACTGGTAAAAAATCAATGGATCTATGTTAATTAAGCTACATATATACGACGAAATTTGTAGTTATAATGTCACGTGGCTAAATATCGAAATAACCTCTGTTTTTCATAAAAAAAATAATGAGAGTGTTACTGATTTTCATTAATCTATACTTCGAATAACCTACGATATAATGTTTCTTATAAAAATGGTTTGCCAATTACATTCTGGCTACTGGTCAAAAGAATAAGATCGATAATTTTCCCGCTGATAAATAAAGGCTACGCACATACTTATCGCCTCGAGTCTTAGAATTGAAAACACCCCTGCATTGACGTGTAAAAAAAACAATAACAAAAAAACAAAAAAACAATAACAACTCAGAGATGAAAATTCTAATTTCCTCTCAACACCTTGTTTATCACAGGACGCTTGTTCTTAAATTAATTTCTCCCCGTGACGATTATTTTTCTGCAATGTCGAACGTTGGTGTGCTTATTACATAAGTTGAAAATTTTAAAGTATTTCCGTCCTGATTTTATTCCGTGAATGGATGCAACTCGATTAACTATCCTGATGTGAGGTCTTCATCGTTAGCAGAATAGGCTGCTTTCGGAAAAGAGAAAAATGGGAAAAATATAGATATGAAATCAAAATATGCCTTCTTATTGACATGGAAGTCCCAGCAGATCTTCAAAAAATTATCAAAACAGAAGAACCTTGAAATCTAAATCTAAAAAGCAGGAAAATTTCGTTAGAAACAAGTAGAAATATTAGAGAATTGCTATGTGATATCACTCTTTTTCTATGGCAGTGTAAGCTGGATAATTCATTTATAGATGAAGAGAACACTTAAGGAAACAGAGGTATGGTTTACAGAAGAATGTTGAAAATACCATGGACGGAACGTGTAACCAACGAATATATTTGAATGAAAATGAAGATAAAAAGATCACGCACTTAGAATCAGAAAGAGGCAGTTGAAATTTCTTGAATATAATGATAAAAGGAAGTTTGGAATGTTTGACCCTCATAAAATGTATCGAATGCAATACTGAGAGGAAGAGATAAGGTGTAACTTACATAATAAGAGTAAAATGACAAACATTTCTAACAACTACAAAAGATAGGAAGTTGTGGAAAGCCATCATCACCCAGCCTTTGAAGTGCATGGAAAGAGATAAACACATCACATGGAAGAAGAACAAGAAGTAGATGAATATTCATCAGTAAGTAACTTTTTTAACGTCGCTAATTGTAAGTGTTAGGTTATTTTCTGTGTTACTTGTCATTCAGAAACATCTGGTAAAGAACAAAAAAAAAGATAAAAGAATTAGTTAGACAGAAGTATAATTATGTTGCAAAGTATAGGGTGACCCCCAAAAATGGGAATTTTTGAAGTGCATATTGCCAGACATGAGCAAGTGGCAACACTGCGAGACAGTGACCTTGAGCAAGTAAACATTTTGCCATTTAGAATTCAAGATGAAATTCACAGTATCCCAGCTGAGATGTTGCAGCAGTCAATGAGGAATCTCAACAGCAGATTTCAAGAATGCATTCGTATAGGAGGACGCCATCTACAGGACGTAATTTTTAAAAAATGAAAATTCCATCATTGTTTCTTAAATGGCATGTTTTAAGGTTTCAATTACTATGAATAAAATATTTTTCTTCCATCGCTCTTGGTTTTATGGGATTATTTCCCGTGTTTTTAGGTAGCCCTGTACAATGGTACATTAATTAAATAGCAACAATTATGAAAATGACCTGAAAGAAAAACCACGTTGTCGATGATTGAAAAGGTTTGAAAATGAAGCTGTGCATTCTTATAACAATCAATCAAGACATCCATAGGAAACGTTAGACAGATTTATTTATACAATATCCGGTGACAAGTATGGTTCAAACAGACGAAAGCATTAGATGCATGAGCCAGAAGAATAAATGCTTAGTCTGTATTGTATGAATGAAGAAATGGAGGGGAAAGGAGGGGGACATATAGAGAGGAGAGAAAGAGAGAAAGAGAGAAAGGAATATGCGGTATAAAAGAGCAAAAAATGTCAGAAAGAAAAATATGATGAAAGGGAAAGAAAGAAAAAAAGAAAGAATGCACGAAAGAAAGAAAAAAAAGGAGAAGAAAATAGAAAGAGGAGACTGAAAATGAAATAAAAGAAAGTAAGAAGGAAATATACTGGCGATTGACGAGAGATTGTCAGCTAGGAAAGTGGAATAAAAAGAGCAAAATTCAAATCCCGACCAAGTCTGTTGAATTCCCTTTCACACGAATCTCCTTGGGAAATGCGTGAATTCATCTCTTGTCTTCAGCTATGAATTAAATAACAAAGTAACCTTGGCCAACAGTCGTTCTAGAAGAAGTACTACACTGAATTTAAAAGTTTGTAGAAGACAACGGGGATCCACTTGAGTATATTTCTCAAGAGCAATTCACAGATAATAATGAATAACAATCTGTGGAGAGCCATGATCAAAAGACATAGTATTAAAGAATATTTAAGTTAAAGAGAGAGAGAGAGAGAGAGAGAGAGAGAGAGAGAGAGACATTATTCTTAATCGGGAATGCAGAATAAATTCAAAATTGTATAAACAATAAAAAATGATTATTTGAAAAAAAAGAGTGAAAAAAATAAATATTGATTACAAAATTAACTCTTATGTTAGGAAGTATGAGAAAGAGATCAATATTGATATGAATACTGATATATTGGAATAAACAGGGATAAATAATGAACGAATATAAACACCAAAAATGATCTGTATATCAATACATAGATACGCATTAGGTACACATAGTAATTGAGTTAATTATGAATTTCTAAAATTGTTGGTATCCATTTTCAGATAACAAATTGGATTTCTAATGCAGATTTTCTAAGAAGACTGGCTTTCCCTGTTTGGAAAATTGACGCAACACGATAATCTCATATGAATTTTATTATTGAGATGTTATTTTTAGTGGACACCCACATTTGAATAGATGCATCGTTTATTCATTAACGAGTACAACTATTGTAAGTTTCTTTACAATTTAAAAAAAAAATCCAGAAGCATATGAACAAATAATTATGGGGAAATTGTTACAACATTAGGAGTAGATATTGAAGTTTTTTTTAATTAATTTAATACAACCTTTATATGGAAACCATGAAGCACATCATGACGGTTCTCGAATTCTTGCCATGTTCGCTGTAGCATAGCCTCATCAATGATGGCAATTCCATCAAATATCTTTAGTTTTAGATAAGGGATGTCTCGTATCTTTGTTCGATATATGATTTCTTTAACATATCCCCATAGAAAGAAGTCCAGGGGAGAGATATCTACTGGATGAAGTGGCTAGTAAATTGGGTCATATATTCCAATCTACCGATTTGGGAATGTTAGTTGTAGTTAGATACACGAAATACACAAATACAATATGATTAAAAGCGTTGATAACATAGAACAAATCAGATTAAGATATCTCATCAATATATTTCTTAAATTGTTACGAGACTTTATCGACACCCTGGACATTAAACACCGGCGAATGACGTGTGGTGGGGGAGCCATGTTGAAAACAATCTTAAATTTCTCACATTCCATGAGAGTGTCTTGGGCAGCCAATGAACTTTTTAACAGACACTCGTAACTCTCTCTATTATATCTTTCTTTCTTTCCACACACACACACACAAACACACACACACACACACACACACACACACACACACACACACACATACACATATATATATATATATATATATAGTTGTGTTCCTGGAGTTTCATTTTTGGGATCATGCACTTTGCGATATATATATATATATATATATATATATATATATATATATATATATATATATATATGTGTGTGTGTGTGTGTGTGTGTGTGTGTTCTGGGTGCTATCGACTAGTGCATTAGCCATTTTAAGGATGCTTTCTTATGCTACTCTAGGAAATGGTGTGTGGATGATATTGTAGACGGTAAAATATTGCTGAAGAATATCACTTAGGAACAGAGTGAAAACCAACTGACCATATTTAGAAATTAACTAATATGTCTACTTAAACGTAAAAAAAATTAGAAGTAAATTTTTCGTAGGGCTAAAAGATTACCATTATATTCATGACCATCATCCACTGTGCGTCCATGACGGAGAACGACTTTTCTAAATCTTTATATCGCGTTTTTTTTTATTTAATTAAAATAATCCCGGTCATATATCCATGTCATTTTCCTGCCTGATATTTTCGTATATTTGCAATATATTGGGATATAACAGACACATCTTTGGCTTCATCTTTTATCTTTTTTTTCTTTTGGCTACGTATTCTGTCCAAATCCAATTGTATATCTTAATCACTTTTATATCGTTTAATTCGGTCTGTTCTCTGAGCTATGCCGAATTTTCTAGCACTTGGAGTTTTCACTATTTTTGAACTTTATCTTATATAAAGTGATTTTAATCTCGATTTATTACTGTATCAATGGAGAAAACCAAGACTAAATTCGATAAAGAATTCGTGTAGTCTGTGCTATCTGTCGAAAAAAAAATCCTAATCAAGGTCGTTATGACTTTGGTAGGCCTCGAAATATGGTCATTGCTTTCGCTTCTATAAAAATCTTGACCATTCACAGCCTTTCTTTCCCCCAATAAAAAAAATCTACTTTGAACCCTATGGTAATTTGACTCTTCTTGTGTGACGAGGAAGTTGTATGTTACAAGTTGTGATGTGAATTTTTCACACTTAATTTGCTCCACGCGTATTTTTTTTGCCGTTGGACATGCGAGACTGATCTCGCCTTGGAATTACGACCATGGATCTTTTTTTATCTGAACCTTCCTATTGCTATTTACTACAACTGTCGTTCTTCACCACTGGGATTATCTATTCATTATACATTTTGCCTGGCCTTTCTTTCTTAAAATGATATCATTTGCTCTGTGAAGGTATATTCCTCGGCCGTTAAATGTTCATTCTATATTCTTTAGATCTCTTTGAGAGGATTAGAGCTGAGTATTATTTTCGTTAACATCAGAAGTACTTAGATGAAAAAATTAAAATTACGCCCTTCTTATTTTATATATTTTATTCTTTCTCGCAATAGTATTAGTCGATTTTGTTTTTATATTTACAACATTTCAACTATTGTACAGCGAGGCGCAAAATAATCCTTGTGGTATAATCAATTTAATTTAAAATAATATAATTCATTTTTCAAATGTGAAAACAGACAATTTCTTATAAATAAAGGTTAGAATATGATATCAGTATTTTAACAAATCTTCATTATTTTTTTTCAGAAATTATTATTGAATACAATATCATTAGAAATGTAACTGAGAAAAAACATAGACAAGAACAAATTTATCTGTATGCTTAAGCTCATACACAATAGCAAAACACTCTTGGTCAATATGTTCAAATATGTTTTGTATTCACTAAATAGTATTCTACAAAATTCTACTGGCGTATTCATCCATTATTTGAAAGCAAACCATACTAAACTTGAAGGTTATCTTGAATGAACCCTAAATTTAAGTCCGTGTCATTATTTTGTTTATGGGATCCAGTTCCAGGCCAAGTTAAGACGTTAATCATTTTGTCTTTGAGCCAATTTTCATCCTTGCTCACTTGGGTGTTTAGAATCACTATCACGTTGGAAAGTAAAATGACTTTATCGAAAATGGTGCCTGTCAAAATCCGTCAGATTTTCATTTAAAATATCACGTTTCTCTTAGTTATTCCAACTGCCGACGATTTAAAAAACAAACAAAACCCCCCCAAAAAACAGCCCATTGCCACTAAAGTATTCCCATAACATCAAATTATTACAATCATATTTTTCACAAGAGATGATATTCCTACGGTTTATGCTTTCCTTTCCGCCATGCTTGCTTTGCTGATTCCGTCATATTCAGATCAATCTTTCTGTGATCTCTCGATTCATTTAAATTCTAGAATCACTTTCTTTTTCTACTGAATAAAATTACGAAAAAAGGTTGAAGCAAAACAAGGGCAATGATACAAAGCGTGGTGACTGAATATCTATAAAAACAAAATGACAACAAAAATTATGCAAAATGATATTTATCTTTTTGCCTATGTATCGAAAAATGCCAATTTTCATGTAACATAACGGAAAAAAACAGCAAGCTGAAGGAGATTACTGCTTCGAGAACAAAAAATGATGTGATTAAATATGCTGAGTAAAAAAACAAAAATAGACAATACAGAGCAATTTAACACTGAGCATTATATTTTTCTAAATATAGTTAATAAAGAATGTAAATTAAACACTAACGTGGTTTCAGATGTAGATAATCAGACGATAATAAAGATGATAGTTTATAGATGTTGCCTTTTGTTGAGCCATGAGTGAAATCGTGGTAGCGGTAAAGTTTAGATTTTCAGACAAACATTTATTTATTTATGTTGGTAAATACATTGGTACAAGAATGTAAAGATATATTGCTAGATATCGAATGAAAGTGTCTGAAGGCATAAAAGGCAAAATGGCGATATCAGCAGAGTATATTCAGAACAATATTTTAATGTAAGCATGTAATGTTTAAATCAATCGATCATTTAAATCATTCAACATATTGAAAAAAGCATTTTAACTTCAGAAGAAAACATTGCTTTATCTGAGAATTAAATTAATAATAAAGGTGTAATCAAAAGTAATCACAATAGTGAACATATCTGACAGGATTAAAATAATAAAGCACTATAAGAAAAAACAAAACAAAGAAGAAAACATTTAATAAAAAGGAAGCTACACATAAAAATAACACACTATTACTATCTCAGTATTTTTCTTTAGTCACGACTATTCTTTAGTTTTAAATAAATTAACCATGGGAGTGGATTTGGGCGTATTTAGGTACAATGAAACGGTTACAAAGAATGCCGCCGGTACTTCCTTACGGCAGTTTGTTTTGAAGCAGGATAATAATAATAATAATAATAATAATAATAATAATAATAACAGAAACACCCTTAATAGATTTAGATTTTGTCACAATGATTAGGGAACTGGAGCACCCTTAATAGATTTAGATTTTGTCACAAAGATTAGGGAACTGGAGCATGGTGAAGCTTATAAGTGCCTGGGAATTAGCGAAGGATATGGCATACAACACCCCCAAATGAAGGAAAAAATAAGAAAAGAGTACTACAGGCGTGTACGTCTGGTACTAAATACTGAGCTAAACTCAAAAAACAGGATATCAGCCATAAACACATTGTCTGTCCCTGTGGTACAATACAGCTTTAATGTCCTTAACTGGACCATAGCTGAAATTGAGCGAATGGATGCCAAAACGAGAAAGCTACTCACTTGCTATCGCATGCATCATCCCAAAGCTGATGTCGATCGTCTGTATGTGCCCAGATCCAAAGGAGGCAGAGGATTACTTCAACTAGAACTGTCCTACAAAACTACAAAAATTGGCCTCCAAAGATATTTGGAAACTACAGAAGACTGGATGATGGTATGCGTCAAGGAACATGAAAGTAGTAAGCGTCTCTACTCCGTAAAGAAATAAGCCAACAAATTCAAAATGGAGTTTCAAATGGGCGTAGAGATGCAACTACAGCACAATACACCGGCTGAAACTGCAAAATACCTAAAAAAGACAGCAAAGACGAATGCAACCGACTAGTTACAGAAGCGATGGCAAGATAAACCGCTTCATGGCCAATACTCTGCCCGTACCAAACAAGCTGACGTAGACAAAATCCGTACCCATCAGTGGCTACGTAGTGCAGGGTTGAAAGCGGAAACTGAAGGTTTTACCCTTGCTGCGCAGGACCAATGCTTGTTAACTAGGATTATCAAGCACATATACTAAAAATATTGTCAGCACAAAATGCAGATTCTGTGATAAATATCCAGAAACGATTGATCATCTTGTATCAGGTTGTACGGTGTTGGCACCCACTGAATATAAAACCCGACATGACAGAGTGGGCCAATATCTGCACTGGAAAATCTGCAACTTCTACGGGAAGAAAACTGAAAGAAACTGGTATGAACCCCACCCAGACCCGGTTACGGAGATAGGACCTGTTACAATTCTATGGGATTACACAATACACACTGACAGAACAATCAAGGCCAACCGGTCAGATATTGTTATTAAAGACCACAAACAAAGACGGTGCCTCCTTATTGATATGGCAGTCCCTGCTGACTGCAATGTATCTTTGAAGATATTCAAAAAGTTGTCAAAATACAAGGACCTTGAAATAAAAATCTCGAAAATGTGGCATATGGGAACATCAACAATCCCTGTTGTAGTTGGAGCCCTAGGATTGGTAATTGAAGGGATTCCTGGAAGTCCATGCCTCAAGGAGATACAAAAAATTGTTCTGACAAGTACAGCCCACACCTTACGAAGGGCTTTAACTATGTCATTTTTTTTTTTTTGTCAGTGGAAAGTGTCATGACGCCATTTCTAAACTTAGGTCCCTGGGCGGGACCCGGAAGAAATGTGTAAACGCCAGAAATCAAAGAAAATAAAAAAAAAATAATAATAATCCAGTAGACTAATTGAACGGATTCCTGGAAGTCCATGCCTCAAAGAGATACAAAAAATTGTTCTGACAAGTACAGCCCACACTTTACGTAGGGCTTTATCTAGGTAATAATTTTTTTCAGTGGAAAGTGTCATGATGCCATTTCTAACCTTAGGTCCCTGGGCGGGACACGAAAAGAAATGTGCAAACGCCAGAAATCAAAGGAAATAATAATAATAATAATAATAATAATAATGGAAATCTCAAACAAAACCCAAATGCAATGGTGTTAAACGTGCTGAGTGGTGGATGTCACTTGGGTGAAAATGTTGCGCAAAAATCTTCTGGAAATTGGCGACCCACTGAATATTCATAAGTCAGGTAACAATGAGTGGACTTCTTATCTTGCGCATTAACAATTATTTCTTGGACGCCACTCATGAGTACTCGCTCTTAAAATGAAACTGACAAAACTTACGTTCACAGACGCGATTCCCGATGAAAGCAACTAGAATTGTCACTGTGTTCAAAAAGTCAACAAACCTGCCCCAACCTGCTCAGGAACCTGCAAATCAAACCAAAGTTGTTCTCAAATCTCAAATATATGTTCAACCATCAAAACCAAGGTACAACAAAGTAAACACTTGAAAGAATGAACAAAGGAGTTATTTATGCATATTATTTTGTAACGTTACATTTAAATATAACAAGTCAAATTACAGCATAAATCTTAAGGCTTAGACTACAATCAACCCGGCTGTAATAGGGGCATTCTGTACGATAAAAATGGTGCTGAAAAGCATGTGAGAAAAATTCCTGAACAGATCAGCATCTCAGAACTACGAAAGTTTACTTAGTTCGGAACTGCACGTATGATCCAGAAAACCTTCTCCATCTAAACGAAACGTCACAAATGTGCACAGATAACTCAGCTACAATACCATTTAATAGAAGGAAGAGGACAATATCATACCTTACACAATAATAATAATAATAATAATAATAATAATAATGTACTAACAAATACAGCCCACACATTACGAATTGCTCTGACTCTGTAAAATATGTGTGAACTTAGGTGTTTTTTGTTGTATTTTTTTTCTCAAAAGATTATCGATGGAAAATTTCATGATGACATTTATGAACTTAGCTCTCTTATTAGGACGCGAAAAGAGATGAGTAATCACCAGAAATTAAATACTACTACTACTACTACTACTACTACTAATAATAATAATAATAATAATAATAATAATAATAAAAGAAATACAAAAAATTATTCTCACAAGTACGGACCACACCTTAGGCAGGGCTTTATCTATATAAAATATGTTCATTTTGTTTTAATTGGTCAGTAGAAAATGTCATGATGCCATTTCAAAACTTAGATCTCTGTGTGGGACCCGGAAAGAAATGTGTACACACCAGAAATCAAAGGAAGTAAAATAATAATACGAATTGACTCATATTGACTTATAGAACGCAGTGCTTTTATTTAATGTAAAATATACTTTATAGATAAAAAAATTAATGAACAATATGACAGCATGTAAAGAAAAAGATGGGAAGAATATCATTCTTTCGGAAATTGTGTTATTATTGCATACATATTGTTCTACAATAATTGTTACTCACAGAAACATAGCAAGTAAATATTAATTATCGTATAACTTCAATTTTCGTTAAAATACTATTAACAAATAAGAATCATGCATGGCTTATAGGATGTTATTTTCTTAGTTTTTCGTATTAATAGTTCCTCTTTTGTCTAGAATTAACATATGATTGAGTCGATTACGATGTTCATTATTATACTAAGAATATATACATTTTTAGAAATAATATATTGGTAATAGCTATAGAAACATAATATTCGTTGCAATATGTGTTTCTAAAGTATTAATACATTATTATTTTTACCCCTTTGAGTCCTGCGTTTCTGAACAATTTTAACCCTTCTGCCTGCGTTCATGATTCAAAACTCGCAAATAATTGGTATGTAATGTTTCATGGTAGATATAAAAAAATACTTACAAGTGTTTACCCACCGTTCAGCCGGTGGCTGGGCATTAAGTCATTTTTCTCTACCACTGGTCAACCGGTGGCTTGGCATTACATCATCTTTCTCTACCACCAGTAAAGCTGTGGTCAAAGGTTAATTCGACAAGTTTTCTTATTACTTTAAACATTATATTTCATTGAATACACGTATTTAACTTGACACTCTGTTCTTTTAAACAATGCGAATAATATTTACTATCCTGTGCATTCAAGAGACTTAATAAAATGATGTGATCTTCGGCTGCGTTAGAACATGCATGCTTTTTTTGTAGGGTAAACAACTGTATCATACTGCATGTTTTAAACCGCTTGACAAAAAAAAAAGAGTTTAATTGACCAGGCTTAATTACTCTTTCAAAAATGCGCATATTCTCGTTCAAATCTCGAATGTGTGACGATAAGGGCAAAGCACTCCGGAGCAAACAATAGTTTTCTCTTACAAAGAAGTAAGCGGGTTCGAACTCAGTCGGAGAGTGCATGTTCTTTATTAAGTTTCTCGAACGAACAGAACCGTAGTAGTAATTCACTTTGTTTAATAAAATCAGGCGTCTACCGAAATACATCCATCTATCTATCTATCTATCTATCTCAAACATATGTAGCTATGAATTTATTGTGAAACTCACTGCTTGCGAAGTCATTGTTAAAACTATACTAGATTATTAAAATATATTTTTATATAAATATTTTATATACATATAAATGTATACAGAAATATTAATATACACAGTTACAAAGATACGTCTAGAAACTTTTAAAACTATAGTAAATTATTTTTGTATATATTAATATACGCAAATAAGTCACGCATTTTAGCTACTTCGTTAGATAAACCTAATATCACTAAATGTTTCTTTTCAGTAATAATCCGTTAATATATTAACTATTTATCCATTGCTTAAAAGGATATCTGCGATGGGTGACAAACAGATAGATAGATAGATAGATAGATAGATAAACAGGGGAATGTGCCAATACTTTATAATATCAAGAAATACATGTATATAGAGGAAATAATGTCTACGTAGTTTAATCAAGATATAATTTATAGAGATGAACCCCTTTCCTCTCTCCCTATATATATATATATATATATATATATATATATATATATATATATATATATATATATATATATATATATAATGATACATAGATTGGTGGATAGATTTTAATTCCATAACCTGCTATAGAATTGTAGCACATACTACTTATGGTCAAGTGGAAATATTTACAAGTTTATACTCTCTTAACTCATTCGCAAATACAGACTTTCATAGACGCATTTAAATATCCTAACACACAAATATATTCCATCAAGTGTATAGGTCTGAGATGGGGACTGGAAGCACTACTTGATATTTAAAGGCATTGTGGAAATTGCCGCTTTGCTTCGCTCGTAAACTCATTAAAAGTTTTGACATTGCGTTTGGCAAGACATCGGCAAAGTTGCCAATCGCACATGATATATTGCAGTCGAGAGGTCAGCCCAGAGATTGACATGAACCATGTGCCGTTTCGGTCGGCGGCCGGGCTTGATCCAAAACTAGAGACACAAGGTCCAACCCACAGTCTCCAATGATTTACTGGAGCGCATATGGCCACGATCCGCGTGTAATTATTTCTGATAATATAACTATCTCTCCAGATATATGAATGAAATAAGAAATACATTTATATGTATTTACTCTGTATATAAGCAGGCCATCAATATGAATATATTGTTAAATATATATTAGTATATTTATATTAATGGTTAAGTATAAAAAAGCAATTATACTGATTTACTTGTTTGGAAGGAGAATTGAGTCATATATGTACTTTCTGAAACTATATATATATATATATATATATATATATATATATATATATATATATATATTAACGAATGTTATAGTAATAAAAAGTTTGTAGTCACTGAAACTGTAGCATTAAAAAACAATTAACATGTAAATTTTTCAGTAGAGAAAATTAGAAAATCACCCGCTTCGGTTACATTGGTTTCAAATTTTCGAAATGTAGCGGTGTCGACTGATCTCATAATTTTATATATATATATATATATATATATATATATATATATATATATATATATATATATATATAAACAAAAAATTATTTGTATTTTCGTTTTCAGATTAATATGGGAGCACAATTTAAAATATTTTTAATACGCATATATAACAATAAGACATGACTTTTTATGTAATTGCACTTCATAAATATATGTATTTGCATTGTATAAACATATGACATTGAAGTCGCTCTTTCTCTCACTATATATATATATGTGTGTGTGCGTATATATGTGTGTGTGTGTATATATATGTGTGTGTATATATATTGTTTCTGTATATATATATATATATATATATATATATATATATATATATATATATATATATATATATTCTGGAAGATCATGGATGTACATTTACAAATATTCCACTCAATATACGTATGCAGACACACACATACACACATATATATTTATGTAAAATGACTTTAAAAGTTGTCGTTATATAAACATACACATACTCAAACATATGTATATATGTGTGTGCGTTTGTGAGAGAGCGAGAGAGAGAGAGAGAGAGTGTGTGTTTGTGTGTTTTTTTCTCCTCACCATAATATATATATATATATATATATATATATATATATATATATATATATATATATATATATATATATATAATAGCTGGCGACTCGTATTCAATGATACCCATCTACTTGGGTGGCTAGCCAATCCTTATTGCAGACACTCAATCAGGCACATTTTGTGTTTGCTCAACACCCACAGAGCCTTCCTGTGGTTTATAATGCTGAGGAGATCTTAGTTACAGTTTCTGGGAAAGAGCGTTTTATTTAGCGTGATTAAGAATTTTAACAAGGCCAGCACGCTCAAGCCCTAAGCCACGATGAATTTTGTGCTAGCTCAACTATTGATGGCCCCCAAGAGTTCCGTCTGTCCACTTTTACTCACAAGGCTTGGATAAACCCGTGGTATGGTTTTCAGGCACGTTCCAAAGGTGTCGCATGCAGGGATCAATCTCGATCCATTCCGGTAATATCAGGAAGTCTCACTTCGGACAAATCGATCATGGTGAAATTCGAATATATATATATATAGTTCATTTTCACCTATTAAAATGGATGAATGAAATTTCTTTTTTTCTTGTAAATCAAGAACATATGTGAACATTGAAATCAACGCTCAGAGGAGACAAATTGTTTCACGCTAGGCGCAATCGTCAGGCAGCGTGTGTTGGATTTTGTCTCGGCTTTTTATATATATGGGTCAGTGGTGCATTGTGGGCAATCCATTCTAGCCTTGTTTTGGCGGGCGTGGCTTGTTTATTTATCTATTTGGTTTTCGATTTTTATTAACGTAGTAAAATGCTTAGGTCTCTTATTTATCAGTTTGTCCCGGTCTGAGAGGATAACTAAAGCTATTTATTCGTCCAATTATTGGATTGATTGCCGTATTGTTTTATTTTGGCAGGGAACAGTTTTTAATTTGCTTATTATTTTCATTATTTATTTATTTATTTGAATTGATTATTTTAACTTGATTTTGTTAATTTATATTTGTTTTAATTAGTTCCAACGGTTATTTTAGCGTGATCAAATTGTTAATTTGTGCATTTATTTATTTATTTATTGGGATTAATTATTACTTGTTTGTTTTATTTATTTCATTTATTTTTATTTATTACTAGCAGGAGAGCCCGGGGATGTAACTGTAAGAGATAGATCAAGTATCGACCATCATAAAGACTGAAAAATAAAATTGACAAAGATTATTGTTTAAGGTTGACGGACACGCATGTCTTAATTAGTTTCTTTTCTTTTTTTTTTTTGCGAATTGATCAAACCCAAACTCAAACAAAAACATTGTTTTCAATCTTTATTAGTCTATCGATTGAATAGAATTTTATTATAAACAATTGTCTTGTAAATGGAATTTTTAAAGCATTCTGAATGTAAAAATAAAGAAAAAGTGTGCAAGACAATAAGAAACACTACCTGCCAAAAAAAAGTGAAGTTTTGTTGAAATCGGTTGAAAAATGTAGGAAATCCGATCCCATATATAAACGAACACGCACACACACACAAACAAACAACTTGGGTTTTATAATAAGTATAACTTGATATGAGTTGTCCCCCTTTCATTCTGGCGACAGAATAGTGTTTTATCGTGTTTTCAAATTGATTTCGTGCAAAAACATTTGCGTTTTTTCCAATTTTTGGCGGTGTCAGAACCACTGCAAGGTAATTTTACTCAGTCCTGTGAAGTTTTGTTGAAATCGGTTGAAAAATGTAGGGAATCCGTTCCAATATATAAACTTACAGACACACACACACACACACACACACACACACACACACACACACACACACAATCTGTGTTTTATAATAAGTAAGATTTTGTATATTTTTATTTACTCTTTTTGGTTTTCGATTTTTGTGTAATGTATTGGATTTTTTATCCTTATATATCAGTTATAGCTATTTTTTTCGACCGATTCTTGAATTGATTGTTGTAGTCTATTGTAACGGTTATTTTGGCGGCATTGTTTTGTTAATTTGTTTATTTGCTTAATTTACTTATTTGGGTTGATTATTTTTACTTGTTTTTATGTATTTATTTTTTATTTTTATTTATTCTATTTCGTCTACTTTAACAAGAGTGGTTTGTTTGTTTACTATTTGCTTGGGTTAATTTAATTTACTTGATTTTTATATTATTTTGTTTATTTTTATTCTTTTCAGTTTTCGATTTTTAAGTAAAGTAGTAAAAAATTGTTTTTCATGTCTGCATTTTAAGGTGAGCTCAGATCATTTATTTGGTAATTTATTTTGATCTGGGAAGGTAACAATAGCTATTTTTTCCTCCAAGGAAAGTTTGCACGTTTTTGATTGATTGTGGTATTTTTTCCTTATTTTCAATGATTTTTTGGTGAGATTTGTGTTTTGTTTTTAATTACCCAGATATACTTAGAAAGCATTGTGCTGTTCGCGTAATCACTATTTGTGAAATATGTTTTTTGTGCATATTTTCTTTGTTTCCATGGTCCTTCAGTTACTCCTATACATAATTTTCTTCATTGTCTGGTGATTTTACCGTGGCTTAGTATATTACGTTGTTTTGTATGCAATTACTGTTTAAGGGAAATTCATTCTTTATTCTACAATTGCTCGTGAGTTTAATTTGTTCGGGTGGTTTGTTGATAAGTCTCCTCTGGTGCTTTTTTATTATTTGTGCCATGTTCTCGGTGTAAAAGTAGCTGATTGTTACAGTGTTTTTATTGAATATTTTGTGTAGATTGCTTGATTACGGAAGTGTTTGTTTAGGAGTTTGAAGAATATTTTGCCTACGTTTGTTTTTACGTTTTTGCTGTACGGTGGGTTGCACCATATGATATTTCTCTTCCTGTGGCATTTTCTGTGCTCTGTGATGAGTATGTGAGTACCGGCGGGAATCCACTCTCTTTTATGGCTGTTAAATATGGTTTCATTGGAAGAATTGTCGGAAAGCCTACGGATAATCGATTTTTTATATATCTGTTTGATTATTGAAGGCGGGTGATTGGAAGATGTGTGTATTTACAGGGGTTTATCATTGGGTTTTACGAATGGTTTGTATGTGCATTTCCCTAGGTTGAAGGTAACATCTAGAATATCTAATTCGTTTAGGTTAGTTTTTATATCTATGTCAAATCCGTTATTTTTGAAAATCTTTATTATTGCTTTTCTATTTTTTTCTGTGTTGTATTTGTTATAGTTTCTTATGATTATGAGACCGTAGTCACTGTAGAGTCCTGTATACTTTTTATCTATTAGTTTGTTTTGGTCTTGTAGTAAATATATACCTAAGATTTTGCAGGTTTCTGCAACGTCAAAGGTTTCGATTGTAGTGTCAATGATCCATTCTTTCTTTATCCATGAAAATAATAAAAAGAAAAACAAGTAAAATAAATTAACGCAAATAAATAAATAAGCCACTCCCGCCAAAATAAACGCCAGAATGGATTTCCGACAATGCACCACTGACACAACTACATAAATAGTCGGAAAAAAATCCAACACCCGTGACCTGACGATTGTGTCTAGCATGCCACAGCCTGTCCCCTCTGAGTTTTGACTTCAATGTTCACTTTTATATTTATATTGACATACGCTCTATCTCTGATATTGAGCACTTTATCCGACAAGTATAGGACACCTAAAAACTATATTTTTTCATACACACAAACACACGCACACACACACACACACATATATATATGTGTGTTTATATATAATAGTTTGTATATATATATATATATATATATATATATATATATATATATATATATATGCAAGAAACTGTAAACAAATACATACATTTACATATTTTCGCATATATATGTGTTAGAATTTACTTAAGTTGTATTCCAATTCTCAGCCACTCTCATTTATTCCAATTCTCTGCGATTCTCATTTATTTTTGTTTTGAGATGTATTTTTTGAGAAGTAGCGAACATATATGTATATATACATATATAAGTGTGTTGAAATTTGCAATTATTATATATATATATATATATATATATATATATATATATATATATATATATGTGTGTATGTGTGTGTATATGTGTGTGTATGGATACGTATTTTGCATATACTGTTATGCATTTTGCATACGTACTTATATGTATATATATATATATATATATATATATATATATATATAGAGAGAGAGAGAGAGAGAGAGAGAGAAATAGAGAGATATGCATACTTATATGTAGATACTAAATCATATGAAACTATATGCGTGTACAAGCTCACTATATATATATATATATATATACATATATATATATATTTATATGGATCGGCTTGTATATCATCATTCAACAGTTAAAATCAATAGGAATGCTTAATATATATATATATATATATATATATATATATATATATATATATACTTTCTCTCTGAATTTATGCATTCATATATTTGTATATAAATTTTATTGCATATATTTATGTGTGTTGAAAACACACACACACACACACACATATATATATATATATATATATATATATATATATATATATATATATATACGTTTATGTCAATTTATATAAAATAGTCACAGTTCCTCTATATATATATATATATGTGGATTTGCGAGTTTATGAGTATTTGCTGCGTTCGTATTTCTGTATTAAATTGAACGGTTGCCAATATTATGTATGTGCGTTTAAAGACAGTTAGGTGTTAACGAAAGTAATAAGTTGGCAGCCAATCAATGATGTTTAAGTCGGTAGAACTCTGTTGAAAATTACGAACATCAGTAAGAAACTTTGTTGAAAGAATCTCATGTATATACAAGGTTGAACAATATAAATTAAAAGAATCGACCATATGTGAAATTCAATGATTTCCGGATGAATTGTATATGTTCCTCTCTGAATATCATCTTAAGTATTCAGGATCTAATTTTGTTGTTTTTCAAATAATGCTGATTTGCTTTTTTTAAAAATATTTTATTAAATTCCGGAGGAAATTCTTCGAGGGAATCCTGATAAATATTTCACCATCTATAAACACGTTAAACACACTATATATTATCACCAACTTCTAAAAATTCAAACTTAATGTAACTAAAATATCTCGAGCTACTACTACCATCACTGCCGGTGTTACTTAAATACATCCCCAAAGCAACATTCGAAAAACAACCAAACATACATACCATTACCTACCCAGCCACACACAAACGAGTATATATTATCATTCCATGCACATATAGATAAAATATAATCATAATACACTTACACATTTTCTTTTATACAAAAATGCTGCTTGACAAAACAAATAATAATCAACAAAAATAAAAAGTACCGGGATTTTCTCTTTTCCTCCTTATCTCATCCCTGATGAAGCTTTAATAAAGCTGAAACATGTTATATTTATAAATGTCTTCTATTCATCTTTATCCTAATATTTTGTCGGATTCCGATCCATATTTGATCTGTATTTGATCATGTTCCATAGTAAACTCTCTATGCGTTAAGAAGCGAAGCCTGCCATAGCATTGCCCATTTACCTAAGTCATAAGATCTTTATAATTAATATATGGTCTGATGTCCCTGCATTACATCTCCAGAATCTTGAGAAAATCCAAAGAAGGAATTGTAATGTAATATGACATGACCAGGCATCTGTACACCAATCACTTTCTCACCGATTTTTTTCTCAATTTCTTTTTACAAATATTTTTTTTGAGCTCAGAATACATGAATTTAAGGATGCTACTAGATTGGCATTTAGGTCTCACCCTTTCACTGGTGAAATAGCTAAATGCCACCGCCAATTCTACTTCAACAATTTATTGTGGAACTCGCTTCCATTTACTTGCTTCCCTGATAACTACAACTTTCAAAAATGTAAATGTAACATCACTCGCCATCTTTGGGTTTTTTGAATCCCGTTCATCTTTTGTTCTTTTCACAATTCACCCTATTCTCAGTTTTTCTCTTTCACACCTTCCGCACTCGTGGCATTCATGACTTACCTGGGGCGAAATGGTTAAAAAAAGTATCAGCTATTCGATTGTAATTATTCGTTTAGCTCTCACTCTCTCTCTCTCTCTCTCTCTTCAATATGGATGCTTTACAAACAAGATAATCAAAATAAACACTACAAAGCGATTTAAATTAATGCTTGACAATACGTATAACAATGGTGATTTTATAAAAACCTATGTCGGAAATGACGACTGTATTCGGAGAAGGAAAATTCCGTAGAGTATTCCGCGTTCGTTGCAAGCCTCTCAAATAATTATGGAGACTCATGCAGGATCGAGATACGTTTGCACATAGAAAGAGAGAGAGAGAAAGAGAGAGAGAGAGAGAGAGAGAGAGAGTCTGGCAGCCTTCTCTGGCTACTATTTTGCACTATAGCATTAACTCTCTTTAAGTCTAACGTCAACCGTTATCTATCCTACATATTATCATAATTTGCTGTTATTTCTTCCTTTGACGTTTATTCAACAGACGCACTAAGAAAACATCTATCTTAAGTGACACTTATGCCTTGTATTGGGTAATTTTTTTTATTAAAAACTAACTTGCAAATACAAAGGTGGGGTTTTGTTTACAGTACTTCTCATAATCATACGTATATTTTCCTAGATTTTCAAATCAAAATTTTTAGAGTTGCGTATTCTATAGGAGGAATACATCATCATATAAACTTCCACTAGTCCGATTCTTCCGTCCGTCACAACCTCTAATATAGCCATACATTCATCGAACGAAACCAAATGAAATCATGTAAGTGGATACAAAGTACAGTTGCTTTTACTAGGGTGTGTAGCTTAGTACAATAAAGTTTTTTTGGAAAAATTAAAAATTTTATTATTTAACATACAAAGCACTTGCATTATTCTAAAAACAATTTAAAGATTAAAATAACAAATACTTATTCATTTAAAAAAAAAAAAAATTTGCATGTCATTTCTTTAAGTTCTTTATATACGAGAATTCAGTTTTTAGTTCGCCCTGATTTTGCGAGAACTATAAGCAAATTACAAGGCCAAACTCTTCAAAAAGTTGGAATTTGTAAAAAGAAAGTAATGGCCAGTTGTATATTGCGTACTCAAGAGTAAGAAATCCCAAGAATTTAAATATCGCTGTTTAAAAAAGAAAAAGGAAAAAAAAATCTTATTTAACATGACGTTCTATAAAATTAAAGAAATTATTAGAGGGCGAATCAGGGTTTTGTCAAAGTATTTTTTAAAAAAAATCAGTTGAAAATTCCTCTATTGGTTTGCAAAATTGAACGGAATGTAGAGTTCGTAAATCTCGTCAAAATGGTAGCGATAACTTCAGAAATACTAAATACGATTTCAGTATGCATTAGCGTGTTGCAAAATCTTCTAGTATTATCTATTTCTGGCCACATGTATCGCCATGCTAGTGACTGTATGATCGGAAATTATTATCTGGATTCCAAACTAAATAATATGGGAATTATTTTTATATATATTAAGTCCATTAGGGTTGCAAGCAAAATAAAACGTCTGAGATTGTACTGTGATTTGGAGATTTCAAAATCAAACTAGTACAGAAGTTTAAATAACTGTGAAGCGTTTAAACAGATAACGGAAAATGTGACACAGTAATATGAAATCACATTGAAATAGCACAATATGTCTGATTCCTTCCTCTAATTTTGAACATTAAAAGAGTCATATTAGACTCAAAATAGAATAATGCTGCATCTATATCTAGGCTGGGGCTCCCTAATACTCACTTGCCAGCATTGATGGTGACCAATGATATTTATGCGGCTTTGTGGGGGATGAGATATTTTCCATCCTACGGCCTCTTTTCCATAGACGCAACGTTGCAATCCTGGCAGTATTGTATCTTTATTTCCATGTCAAATGTTTAGAAGAGCTCCATACTTTTGTACCATCAGTTCAGATTTCTAAAATCAAGACCCGACATGCTGCGTCAACAAAACCCAACCAGCATTAACATAATGAAAGCAATCCACACAGAAGGAATACACTGAATTCAAAACATAGTGTCTTGTAGGTTTTCCTTCCCTGGGGAAAAAAAGTAGGAAAAACTATAATGAAAAATTTACAAATCTAAATGATTACGAAAAAACTTCATACCGGATAGGTCGTCACCAGGCTCAAGAAAGGGCCGCGTACCTGAGAAAGGAACATGACTATTAACGAAAAATCTGTCACTGGCACAAATTCTTCCAGCAACGACATCATTTTTCACTGCACTCGAATATTCACACAAAAAAAAAAAACAAACAAAAAACACCAACAATCAGACATACCAAATATGGTAGCAAGTGAAATAAAGCCTCATTTCAACACAAGCATGTTTGCCAATATCCGCAGGGACATCGTGCAAAACAAAATACTCTTAAATGTAGAAACAGAAGAGATAAAGACAGATATAAATCAGAATAAAATAACCCCTCCCCTCAAACAGTAGAAAATATGGGAGAAAGAATAAATAATATGGCAGAGGATGAGGTAATAACAAAAATAAAAGAGATAAGAAATAATAAACTCCCAGGAATTAAAACCGAAGACTCTAGCTGGGATATAATCTGCAGTAATCCAGACGATGTCACAGAAGTTGAGTCGAATTACATTAGGGTAGAATTCCTTAAAAGCCACAAATGTGAAATCATCGAAGCGAAAAAATCACATCATCCAAATAACCAGCAGAGTAACACTCACATAAATGTCAGTCAGAAAAAAAAAAAAATCATACGACAAATTTCAATAAGCACATTGTGCGAATATACAATGCTGAACTGAAAAGAAAGTGTTAACCGTCAAACAACTGGGAAAGAGCACAGAAGTTAACAATGTCATATATGCAACAGCTTTAGCAGCTACTGGGAAGTCTGGAGTCAAGACAATGAAAAGATCAAACAACAAAGAGAACCAGCTTGGAGGGCAAAACTGAGGCGAGAACTGAAGGACATCAGATGCGAGATTTCAATACAAGATGAGTTCACTAGAAACACAAATGTCTCAACACGCCAATGCAGAAGGATCAAACAGAAATATAGAATTAACTCACTAAATGAATTTCTATCAATCAAGGAAATCCTAAATGAGAAACTGGAGTTAAATGCACAGTGCATGATTAAATGCTGAAATTGATGGTTTTATTCTTGCTGCACACGACCAATGCTTGCTAACTAGATATTACCAATCACACAAACTGAAAAAATATGTTAGTCTAAAGTATAGATTCTGTAATAAATATCCAAAAACAATTGATCATCTTCTCTGAGGCTGCGCAGAATTACCACTCAATGAATATAAAACACAGCACAACAAGGTGGGCTAATATCTGCACTGGAAAATCTGCGAAACTTACGAGATGGAAAATGCAAGAAATTGGTAAGAACACCAGACAAACCCAGTTACGAAGATAAGATCTGTAACAATTTTAAGTGATTTTACAATACAGACAAATAGAACAATCAAAGCTAATCTCCCCGAAATCGTGATTAGAAACCGCAAATACAAAATGTGACTCCTTATCGATATAGCAGTCCCTGCAGACTGCAATGTATCTTTCGAAATCTCAAAAATGTGGCGCATGATGACATTAACAATTCCAGTTATACTTGGAGCCCTCCGATTGATTGTAAAAGATTCCATTAGACTCATTGAAGGAATTCCTGGTTTCCAATGCCTTAAAGAAATATAAAATATTGTATTCATTTTATCTATGTAAAATATGTACGATTTTTTTTTCAAAACTGCTCAGTGGAAGATGTCATGATGCCATTTCTAACCTTAGGTCTCTGATCGGGACACAAATAAAAAAAGAGAATACATTAGAAACGAAATGAAATAAAACAATAATAATAATATTAAAGCGAGCAGAGCGATTTAAGAGATGATAACAAAAAGAAAAAAAAGCACATTGTTGGACAATGTTAAATATTTTATTAACTGTTGAAAAATATTGGAAGACTTCCGTTAATCATTTTGTTTATAATAATAATAACGATAATGATGTTTCTTTTTAATAATAATAAGGAAATATTAGGGGTCTTATTTTGTTATTCACAAAAATGATCAGAGAAAAATGTGATGAAACCATTTGTGATCTTAAGTGTCTGGTTGGAACCTGGAAGGAAATGTGTATACAACAGAAATCCGAGGGAATAATAATAATAATAATAATAATAATAATAATAATAATAATAATAATAGTGTCAGTAGAAAAATATAAGTGTAAAACGTTAAAAATTGAAGTTTTCAGGCAAGCCTGTGTTCTTTCTTAACGAGTTAATTTTATTTTTTATGGATAATGAATTCAAGCGTGTCCAAAACTTTTAATTTTTAACATTCTTCATATGCTTCTATTTTTCTAATGGTCTAATAATATACAATTTAAATTAATATTATCAATGTTATTATTAGTCTGTTTCAAATGTCTCTCATCGGTCAACTTCAAGTATAATAGTGTGGAAATAAATGAAATTTGTAGAGAATGGCTTCTTACCGAGATGGGAACTATTTGAATTAATAACGGTTTTATTTATGCAATCATTTGTTAAAAATACAAACATGATGGACGTAAGAATTAAATATTAATACTCAATATCCCTAATTTACATTTAAATGTCGAATCTCTCTCTAGTTTCGATATAAACGGTAAAGGACGTGTGTTCTATTTTTAGCCCGATTTTCCCCACCATTTTTTATTTATGATTAACTAATCTCATTGATTGTCCCCTCCACATATTTGGCTGTGTGTTGTGGCGTCATCATGCCCGGAAATGTCTTGTTCGTGAATATCGTCACTGCTTTTGAATTACGGAATGAGGTGTTACAGATCTGAATATTTGGCCTGGGAAAACTGTTAGGTTGACTCAGGAAATAAACGGACGATTATTCTAACACCGATTTTGTGTAATTAGGCTTAGATTGTTCCAGTAATTACTGACCATTGTTTAAAAGATTTTACGCAACAACAGATTCATAGAATTCATAATTAAAAAAAAACAAAAACAAAAAACAAGTCAGCTTTTACACATTTAAAATCTGCATTACTACTACTACTACTATATCTTATTTTATGTGCAGTGATCTTTTAGGGTGGGCGATCATGGTTCTTCACAAATTTCAAGACTTTCTAACAATTGTTGTATCTCACTATACCTCAGCCACCCTGTTCTTTCATCAATTTACACAAGCTCCTATTCACTATTTCCACCTCTCTCCTTTCTTCGATATTCTCTGTGAGCATTAAACTTTTCAAGCTTTTTTTATACGCCTTGGAAATTGCAACTGCTGATTTCTGATTCTATCTATGAAATGTTTTTTGTTTTATTTTTTTATTAAAACTTCTTTCTTGTTCACGTAATACATTCATTCTA